ACACACACACACCCCTTGCATGGATTTTGTGCACCAGGTCTCTAGTCTATAATAGTGATATCTAGAAATATGTTCCATTTTGCATGCATTGCTTCACCTGTAGCAACCCAATGAACTATTATAATAAGCATATTTATCTCCTGTCAGGGCCAATCTTTTCTCTGTCTCTCCTTGCCAGGGATAGAGGTGAAAAAAACTATTTTTTTTTTTTAAAAATGTAGTTTGTTTAAGTTTATAGAAAGTGCTCACAAAGAATATAAACAAATAAAAACCTTTCAATGTGATGGATAGCACTGGATTTTAGTTGAAAGACCTCATGTTTGTTTGTTTGTTTAAAAATATTTTTATTCATTTCATAGAATAAGGAAGAGGGAGGGAGAGTAGAAACATCAATGATGAGAATCATTAATTGGCTGCCTCCTTAATGCCCCCAACTAGGGGTTGAGCCCAAAACCCAGCAGAAATTCCACTGTGACCTCCTGATTCATAGATCAGTGCTCAACCATTGAGCTATGCTAGCTGGGACAAAGACTTCATGTTTAATAAAATTCTTGAATAAAGTATAAAATAGATTAAATGCAGGCAACATATGTAAAAAAAAAAAAAATCAAGGAGGAGAAATCAAGATGACGGCATAGGGTATACACCTGAATGCAGCCTACCACAACAATTTTGGTGTTTACCTGTGCAGCCATCTTGGATTCTCCCTACCACAACAATTTTGAATTTACAGCTGGAAACATCACCCTGAAGCACCGGATGGCTGGCTAAGAGGAGACTCTACCATCTGGGAACGAGAGAGAAGGCATGCTGAGCCTCAGGAACTGTGAAGGCATGGAGAACAGTGCGCGAGAAAAGGCGGCCACTGAATTCGCTGCTGGCTTGCTTGCGGCACGTGCAGAGAGGGCGCACGGCTAATGCGCAGCTGGCTTTCTTATTAGGGAAGAAAACAAAACAACCCTATTGCTCTGATAGACGGCCCCAGTCAGGGAGAGGCCGGACTGTCAGGCAGTGGGCAGAGATCTCTTGGAGGTGGGTGGAACCAGTAGCCATTACTGTGGGACTCAGGAACTGGAACCTCATAGGGAGAGCTGACGGGAAACCAAAGCTTGTCTGCACCACCCTGAGACTCTGCCCCATCCAAGTGGAACACAGAAGCCCTCCAGGAGGCTGGCTTTCTCATTCAGGAGGGAAAAAAAAAAACGAAAGAAAAAAACCTCCCAACTGCACTGAGAGACAACTCCGAGCCCGAAAAAACTGGCTGTCATGAGAACAGCTTTTACCCAAGAAGTGCATGCGCCTGCAACCAATATTGCGGGACTTGCTGCAAATAGGACTTTCCTAAGGCGGAACTGACGGGGAACCAAAGCTTGTCTGCGCCACCCCGAGGCTCCGCCCCATCCAAGAGGAGCACAGAAGCCCTCTTAGCTGAGACACTGCTGATCCTCACAGCCAATTGGCTTGGACATCAACACTTCCCACTGATACCAACAACAAGCAAGTCTTAACAACAAGACTACACACACAGCCCACAAAGGGCTACACCAAGACTGTTCACCTCAGGTAACTGGGAAGGTTGTGCTACTGGGCTCTACCAGAACACCTAGCACAGAAAACTATTCCATCAAATCAGTGAAGCAGTTAAAATGCAGAGAAGAGGCAGGACACAAAGGAAGAAGATGGAGGAGAGTAAAAGAATGGACATTGAGTTCAAAACAACGGTTATAAGGTTTTTCAAGAATTTCCTTAAAAAGGCCAATAAAATAAACGAGACCTATGAGGATATGAAAAGGGATCAACTAGAAATAAAAAAAGGATCAACTAGAAATAAAAAGGGATCAACTAGAAATAAAGAATACATTGTCTGAAATAAAAAATATTATACAGAGTCTGAAAAACAGAATGGAAGATCACAGGAATAAAGACAAAGATTTGGAACACAAAGAGCCAGAGGACACTCCTCCACAGAAGCAAGAAGATAAAAGAATCCGGCCAAAACCGGTTTGGCTCAGTGATAGAGTGTTGGTCTGTGGACTGAAAGGTCCCAGGTTCGATTCCGGTCAAGGGCATGTACCTGGGTTACGGGCACATCCCCAGTAGGGGGTGTGCAAGACGTGGCTGGTCGATGTTTCTCTAATCGGCATTTCTAACTCTCTATCCCCCTCTCTCTTCCTCTCTATAAAAAATCAATAAAATATATATTTTTTAAAATAGATAAGAGAATCCAGAAAGTTGAAGATAGTGTAAGAAGCCTCTGGGACAATTTCAAACGAACCAACATCAGAATTATGGGAGTCCCAGAAGAAGAGAGAGAGCAAGATACCGAAAACATACTGAAAAAAATAGTGACAGAAAACTTTCTTCACTTGGTGAAAGAAATAGACTTACAAGTCCAGGAAGCACCCAGAACCCCAAACAAAAGGAATCCAAAGAGGAACACACCAAGACACATCAAAATTAAAATTCCAAGAGCAAAAGACAAAGAGAGAATATTAAAAGCAGCAAGAGAAAAGCAGGTAGTTACCTATAAAGGAGCATCCATACGATTGTCAGCTGATTTCTCAACAGAAACCATGCAGGCCAGACGGGAATAGCAAGAAATATTCAAGGTGATGAATAGCAAGAACCTATAGCCAAAAATACTCTACCAGCAAAGTTATCACTTAGAATCGAAGGCCAGATAAAGAGCTTCACTAATAATAATTAAAAAAAAAAAAAAGGAGTTCATCACCACCAAACCAGAATTATATGAATTGCTGAAAGGGGTTCTTTAGGAAGAAGAAGAAAATAAAGGTAAAAATTATGAACAACAAATACGTAACTATCAACAAGAGAAACTAAAAACCAAGGGAATTAAAACATCTGATGAACAATATTAACTGGTGAATATAATAGAATCAGAGGTATGGAAGGGGAGTGAACTGACGATTCTCAGGGAAAAGGGGAGTGGTGGTGCGGCAAGAGGCTGAACAAAAGCTGTGCACCTATGGATGAGGACAGTGTGGGGTGGGGAAAGGGCAGAGGGTAGGGTGGGAACATGGTGGAGGGGAGCAATGGGGGTGGGGGGAAAAGAGGAACATTTGTAATAATCTGAACAATAAAGATTTATTTAAAAAATAAAAATAAAAATAAAAAATCAAAGAGTTACCTAATACTAATCTAAAGCCAGGAAACTTTATTCTTGTATTCAACGGATCTAAGAGGGGTAGTGAAGAAGGCATTTACTCAGCTGATTTTCAGTCTTAAAAAAAAGACAAGAAGATAAGGGGGAATAATAAAATAAAGACAAGGAGCTTAATTACAAGTTGCTGTGATTCTTTTTGAGCATTGTTTACTTACTAGCCATATCCTTAAACAATCTGCAATAAGCTCAGAGGGTACCTGGGGAGGCAACTATACAGATTATTTAAATTCTTCAGTTTGGGAATTCAAACAGATTAGGATTATGGAAGACAGTTTTAGCCACTCAGCAGAAAGGAAAATGCAATATTGAAAGGACAGAAATAATGCAGCAGAAAGATCCACTGTGGGGTAGCTGCCCAGCTAAGATTCCCCTCTCCAAAAACTCCTCCCAAATATTAATACATAGGGCTGGAGCTGAGGGCCCAGGCCTCATGCCGTGCTCCAGCGCTTGTTAGCTGTCACTCGGTAGCTTTGTCTTTACATTCTCAGTGTTGTTTTGAGGATTAAATAAGATAATGCTGAGACCAACACCTGGCAACCAGTACATAATAAATGTCAGCCATTGTCGCTAAGCACCATGCTTGCCTAACTGGCTGCACTAGAACCAACAGATCTCTCCTGGACTGTGAGGTTGGGATCAGCCAGTCATTACATGCAGCTGGACCTGGAGTTTGAAACCTCTGGCCTTAGCTTTGAGGTCTGAGGAGCAGAGAATGAGTTTTAAAAGAGGAAAAACCAGCCTGAGTGGAAGAAAGTCCAACCTGGCTCCCCATCATTTCTCTTTGCCGCTTCAGGTTCCGCTGAGCCTGCTGGCCTGTCTGCCCTGTGTCCATGCGCAGAAGGTTGGTTTGTTTTTTTTAAGTGCCCTTTGCATTTAGATGGATTCCAGGGGCCTTTTATTTGCAGTCAAGAATCTTACCCAGCACATCTACACCTATAAAAAAAAAAAAGGTGAAATGTGCTAAGCAAGAAGAAGGTGCGGACTTGAAAATCCCTGTGATTATCAGAGAGCAAAGGACTGAAATGTCACAAGTGAATGGCAACATTTTCCCTCTGTCTAATGAATGAGCACTGGGTATCTTTCCCAGAAACTATCCACCTGCTTCTGCCCCCACCCCCTGCCATCCGCTCCCTGCATTTGAAGCTTTTTGATTCAAAGATATAGGAGATTAGGTATTATTCCAGAGCTTTGTTAAATAAAATAAAGGTACATAAAGTGGGTCCAGGGTGATTTGCAACTGTAAGCCAAAGTCTTTAAAAGGAGATTATGTTAGTTTTAAGTGTCAAAATAAAACACCAGAAATGTTTTTTTCTCTCCTCTCTCAACTCCACCATATCATGGATATAACAATATAAAAAGAATTTCCTTCAGCCCAAATGAAAACAAAAAGGGACTTGGGAACCTGAGTCCTTATTCAGGCTTTACCCTTGAATAAGTCACTTCCCTTTAAGGATCCCAAGAATCCATTCCCTCCAATCCAGACGTGTTCAGGCGAGGAGGGCCTCCTGCCTAGATAACGCTGTCATTTACTTCAGTGCCTCCCATTAATTTTGACTGTACTTCTCAGAAGAATCGTGCTGGCAAAATCTAAGAGAGATTCTCAAAAATGGATCCAGTGTTGGAGGTTTTACCATTCGGTCTTTGTGTCAGCAGCACAAAGACCCGCTTCCAAGAAATCCCAACACCCCCCCCCCCTCCTGCTCCTGAGCCAGCAAATGGGCGCAGCATGGCTGGTGCTCTCAGGAGACCTGGCTGGAATGCCTCTATGAGTTGAGGTGGGTGGTACACTAAAATACATTCTAGAAAAACAACCTACCTGGATTGAAGTAAAAAATAATATTTAATAAATCTTGGTCTCCCCACGTGATGGCATTCTTGTACTTCTGGTATAGAGGGTACAGCATGTCCTCCCAAGCCAGCCCTGTTGGAATCATGCCGTTCTGAAAAAGAGGAAACCATTGGAGCAGCTGAAGCAGCAAATCCATCTTGTCCACTAAGAAACAACGGAGAGGGACCGCTCCTCCTCCCCCCAAAAAAGCATGTGGAGGACGTCCAGGCACAGCACACAGTGACATGGGCTGTCACAGCAGTTACATGTGCCATGGACACTGGATGTACCAGGGACTGGGAGTTGGGATGTGATTTTGACTTAGAAAAACATACCCCAAATGAACCTCTTTCTTGTGCTTAATTCTTACCTCTGCAGTGAAGGAGCAAATAAGAACAACAGAATTGTGGTAGCTTAAGGAAAAACATACTTTTCCTGTCTTAAAATAATAATTTAATTTAAAAAATAAAAGCAGAGAAACCAAGATGGTGGCATAGGGTAGACACCTGAATGCAGCCTACCACAACAAATTTGAATTTAGAACTGGAAAACAGGGGAAACATCGCCCTGAATCACCGGACGGCTGGCTGAGAGGAGGCTCTACTATCTGGGAAGGAGAGAGAAGGCACGCAGAATCTCAGGAACTGTGAAGGTGCAGAGAACTATGCACACAAAAAGGCGGCTGCCAGACTTTGCTGCTGGCTTGCTTGCAGAGCGCGGAGAGGCCGGGCCGAGTTCGCTGCTGGCTTACTCCCTATGCACGGAGAGGGTGGACAGCTAATGCGCAGCTGGCTTTCTTGTGCGGGAGGAAAACAAAACCACCCGATTGCTCTGATAGACAGCCCCAGACAGGGAGAGGCCAAACTGTCAGGCAGTTGGCAGAGATCTCTCGGAGGTGTGTGAAGCCAGTGGCTATTACTGCGGGGACTCAGAAACCAGACCCTCGTAGGGAGAGGCTGACTAAAGTTTGTCTGCACCACTCAAGACTCCACCCTATCCAAGCGGAGCACAGAAGCCCTTCCAGTGGCTAGCTTTCTCGTTCACTGAGAATAGGACTCTCCTAGGGAGGAACAGACAGGAATCTAAAGCTTGTCTGCACCTATACCAAAGAGGTGCATGCGCCTGCAACCAATCTTGCGGGATTCACCAAACTTGGCTGTGCCACCCCGAGACTCCGCCTCATCCAAGTGGAGCACAGAAGCCCTCCTAGCTGAGACACTTCTTATCCTCATAGCCAATTGGCTTGGAGATCAACTCTTCCCAGTGATACCAACAACAAGCAAGTCTTAACAACAAGACTGCACACACAGCCCACAAAGGGCTACACCAAGACTGTCCACCTCAGTAACTGGGAGGCTGACCCACTGAACCATATATTAATAGGACACCTTAGCACACAAAACCACCCTACCAATTCAGGGAAGCTGTGAAAATGCCGAAACAAGGAAACAGATAACAAACAAAAGAAATGGAGGACAAGAAGAGACTGGATATAGAGTTCAAAACCATTGGTATAAGGTTTTTTAAGGGTTTCCTAGAAAAGGCCGATAAAACAAGACCTATGAGGATATGAAAAGGGATCAATAAGAAATAAAGAATACATTGTCTGAAATAAACAATATTATACAGAGGCATAAAAACAAAATGGAAGATCGCAAGAATCAAGTCAAAGATTTGGAACACAAAGAGCCAGAGGACACTCCTCCACAGAAGCAAGAAGACAAGAGAATCCAGAAAGTTGAAGATAGTGTAAGAAGCCTCTGGGACAATTTCAAACGAACCAACATCAGAATTATGGGAGTCCCAGAAGAAGAGAGAGAGCAAGATATCGAAAACATACTGAAAAAAATAGTGACAGAAAACTTTCTTCACTTGGTGAAAGAAATAGATTTACAAGTCCAAGAAGCATCCAGAACCCCAAACAAAAGGAATCCAAAGAGGAACACACCAAGACACATCAAAATTAAAATTCCAAGAGCAAAAGACAAAGAGAGAATATTAAAAGCAGCAAGAGAAAAGCAGGTAGTTACCTATAAAAGTGCACCCATACGATTGTCAGCTGATTTCTCAACAGAAACCAAGCAGGCCAGATGGGAATGGCAAGAAATATTCAAGGTGATGAAGAGCAAGAACCTACAGCCAAAAATACTCTACCAGCAAAGCTATCACTTAGAATCGAAGGCCAGATAAAGAGCTTCACAAATAAAAAAAGCTAAAAGAGTTCATCACCACCAAACCAGAATTATATGAATTGCTGAAAGGGGTTCTTTAGGAAGAGGAAGAAGATATAGATTAAAATTATGATCAACAAATAAGTAACTATCAACAAGTGAAACTAAAAACCAAGGGAATTAAAAAACCTGATGAACAATATTAACTGGTGAATATAATAGAATCAGAGGTATGGGGACTTCCTGGAAGATGGCGTAAATCAGGTAAACATTTGTACGTGCTGCCTCTTACAACCACATCAGTGCTGCAACTAGGGATCTTACCTGCAACTAGGGATCTTACCTGAGACCTGAAAAAAACATAACTGTGGGGGCCCCGACTGGTGCAGAGATGCGGATTCCACAGAAAGGTTGGATTTTGCCGGGGATTACGTGGGGTGTCTGTTTTCCAACAGTGAAAGCGGCAGCTGCGGCAGCCGCAGAAGCTGCCGCAGCTATGGCAGCAGAGGCGCGTGTGCTGGGACCGCGGAAATCTGTGTCCATAAAAGCCCCCCGCTGTTGGGTCTGGCGTGATTCGAGAGAATGGACGGGGGTCCCCAAGATTGCTACTAGTGGGGTTCTCTAGGGAGCAACCCACTCTGATCCGACATGGTGGGAGAACATAGGAGTTGGAAAGCAGTCTGTAAGTGTGCGCACACTCGCCCATCGCGCACCTAGGCTGGTTTCCCTGCAACACTTTGCTTCTGATTACAAAGGAGAGATCACCCAGATTGGCTGGCCCTAAGAGACAGCAGGGGAAACTGCTTTTCTGAAAGCTGAGAAGCAGAGCGGGGAGAAATCATCTAGGATTCAGCTCCGAGGCAAATAAAAACAAACAAACAAACAAACAAACAAAATTGATATTGAGTGCCATAGAAAAAGAAGGCTAGAGCAGCCAAAAAGACAGGGACATGAATCCAGAAACACTACCATCTAGGGTCTGGAGTACAAACTGACTGTGTTTATTACTAGTTTTATTTGATCAAAAACCAAGAAACTAAGGAATATTCACTGAGGTGCAGCAGAACGAAGGAAACTGCAATACTGTCTGGACTGAGAAACAGGCGTGCCAAACAGCATAATGGAAGAAGTGAATGGCCTTCACAACTAAACACTTTTTTTGCTAAATTCTTTTCGTTTTTTTATTTCTTTTTTTAAATTATTTTTTTTTATTTTTTATTTTATTTTCATTTTTTGCATCTTTTACTTAAGAAACAATTTTTTTCCTTTTTTTTCCTCACTTGATTTTAACTTTTTAATTATTACATTTTTAGGTTCAATAAGCATTATTACTACTGCCATTTTAATTTTTTTTAAGTGCCATTCTATTTTCTCTTTATTTTACATTGGAATTAATGTTCTTCATTTTATTTTCATTTCTCCTTTAACATTGTTTAACCCTATCTCAACACCATCTTTACACCATCACTCTCTTTCTAACCTTCCCCCTTTTGCTATCCTGTTTATCTTAACCCTTTCCTGCTTTAGATTTTCCTTACTCTTTCTGTATACCCCCTGCTAAAATTTCTACCCTACCTATATATCTAATTTCCAAACCCCTGTTCCAAGTGTACACTCCTCTCTGAGCTGTATTAATTAGCAAAAAACAAACAAACAAACAAACAAAAAACCTGTTTTCCTCAATTTTTTTGGATGCTGTTTGGGGTAATGTTGATTATATTGTATTTTTATGCTTTTTAGTGATAATATTTTGGTTATTTTTTTGTTGTCGCGGTTGCTTGGTATTTTCTTATTTGATTGGTTTTTGTTTGTAGTTTTTTGTTTTTACCTCTGTTTTCCCTTCCTTTGCTGGAAATTAGGGGGTGTTATAGATTGTATCATTCTTCAGGTGCTGCTGCCAGTATTTGTTGAGGTTAGTGGTTGTTAAATTGAAATTCTCTCCCCATATATATAGTTTATTCCCCTTTTATCTCTTATTCTCTTTCTTTCTCTCTCTATCTCTCTTTCTTCCCACTGTTTCCCAATTTCATTTCGACACCATATTTATATTTATATATTTATATATCCTTTAGACATTTATATATCCTTTTCCTATCTTTTTGTTTTGCTCCCTCCCTCTTCTCTTTTTACTCTTCCTCTTTCTCTCATATTCCCTAATTTGCCTTTCCCTAGTGGTCACCTTTATTGGAGGTTATTAATATCGCAAATACAGTTCTGTTCAGTGCCTTGTGTGTTGTACCTGGTTGTGTTGTATTTTGTGCCTTTAAACCAACGCAGGAGAGAGAGATCTACGTAACCAGACATCCTGAAAAGAGAGACCATGGGGAGACAAAGAAACAGCCCACAAATGAAAGAAAAGCAGGCATCACCAGAAAAGGAAGTAAACGAGTTAGAGGCAAGAAACCTACCAGAGCAAGAATACAGAGTAATGATCATAAGATGGGTAAAAAGAATGGAAGACAAATTTGACAATATGAGTAAGACCCAAGAAGAAATGAAGAAGAACCAAGAGGAAATGAAGATGACTCAAGAAGAAATGAAAAGTAACATTGCTACTATGAAGGACTCCATAGAAAGTATCAAGAGCAGACTAGAAGAAGCAGAGGACCACATAAGTGAGCTAGAAGACAAGATGGAAAAAAATACCCAAGTAGAGCAGCTTCTAGAAAAAAAAATTAAAAAGCAGGAGGAGAGCCTACGGGAGCTTTGGGACAATGCAAAACAAAACAATATCCGAATAATAGGGGTTCCAGAAGGAAAGGGAACTGAGGTAGACATGGAAAACGTATTTCAAGAAATAATGACAGAAAACTTTCCTGAGATAGAGAAGAAAAATCCCACACCGACGCCAAGGCACATTATAATTAAATTGGCAAATGCCAACGACAAAGTAAAAATCTTAAAAGAAGCCAGAGAGAGACAGAAAGTTACATACAAAGAA